GTGCCTTGCTTTGTAATCAAATATAACATTGAACAGATTTCACAGTTGCAGTTTTAGCAAGTGAAAGTTCTATAAGCAATAAGAAATCCCAATGTTGTGGGTAACACATTCTCTCTAAATATTTCTTCTCTCATTCTTCTCTTTCTTGTTTGTTCTTCTTTTCTTTTGTTGTTCTTGATAATTACTTGTTATTACCATTACTATCATATTATGGGTTTGTTCATAAATCTTGAGATCAAGATTGAAGGAAATTCTTCATAGGGTGTGAGGTGAATTTCCAACATCTGGTATCTAGAGCTCCGGTTGAGAGATTCAAGGAAGGAAGATAGTGATGGCGATGAACTATCCGAACGGAAATTTTCCGGCGACCCTGCCAATTCTCAAGAAAGACAATTATGAGAATTGGTGCAAGCAGATTAAGGTGATTTTCTGTTATCAAGATCTTTGGGATCTTGTGAAGGAAGGAGTAACATCGCTTGGGGAGAACGCAGCGGAGGCGGAAAAGGCTGCGCACAAAGAATTGAAGAAGAAGGATTATAAAGCACTCTTTATAATTCATCAGTGTGTTGATCCTGATAACTTTGAAAAGGTTAGTGATGTTGATTCAGCAAAAGAAGCAAGAGAGATTTTTGAAAAGTCGTTTGGAGGGGCAGAGAAGGTGAAAGAGGTGAAGTTAGAAACTCACAAGAGAACCTATGAGTTGCTTTAGATGGAAGACAATAAAAAGAATTACAGATTTCTTCACCAGAGTTACAAAATTGGTGAATCAAATCAAAGTATGTGGAGAAGCACTAACGACGAAAGCAGTTGTCTCAAAAATCTTGAGATCGTTGGCTCCAAAATTCGACCATGTGGTAGTTTCCATAGAAGAGTCGAAAAATCTGTCAGTATTGACGAAGGAAGAGCTTCAAGGGACTCTTGAGTCTCATGAAAAGAGGATGGCTGAGAGAGTTGCAGGAAATTCGAAAGATATGGCTTTGCAGGCACAGTCAGAAAAGGAAAGAAAAGGCAAAGGTAGCTGGAATGGCAACAAAGAAGGAAACCAGTTGAATCAGAAGAAACCTTGGAACCAAGGCAACCAAAGAGGTGGTGTTGCAGGTAAAGGAAGAGGTGGTGGTCGAAATATAGATAAAAGCCACATTCAATGTTTCAATTTCCAGAAGTATGGTCATTATGTTAGTGATTGTCCAGAAAGGAAGAGAAATCAAGAGACTGATGCAAAGCTGGCGAAACATGAAGAAGAAGAAACGTTGCTAATGGTCACAACAAAAGATGAAGAAAGATTCCAAGATCAGTGGTACTTGGACTCAGGATGCTCATCACATATGACTGGAAGGAAAGATTGGTTTGTCAACATGAAGCCCTCGTCGAAGAACACATTGAAGTTTGCAAATGACAACACTCTAGCAGCCGAAGGTGTTGGTGATGTTTTGATTATGAGGAAAGATGGAAAAAGGTCAACAATTTCCAATGTGTTGTACATACCAGGCATGAAGAGTAATTTGCTCAGTATAGGGGAACTTGTCGAAAAGAACTACAAGGTAGTCGTCGAAGACAAGATGATGAGAGTTCTTGACGCAGGTGATAGATTAATATTGAAGGCTCCAATGTCTCAGAATAGGACCTTCAAGATTGGACTCAATGTGATGGAGCACAGATGTCTAGCAACTGCAGCCAGCAGAGATGAGTGGTTATGGCATTTTCGACTAGGTCATCTCAACTTTAATGACATCAGATAACTGAAGAGAAGAAATATGGTTTCAGGATTACCAGTAATTGACATTCCAAATGAAGTCTGTGAGGAGTGTGTTCAGTCGAAACAACACAAGAATAGCTTCAACAAGGATGTAGGAAGGAAGTCGAAGGCAATACTTGAAGTCATATACTTTGATGTATGTGGTCCAATCCAGGTGGATTCGATTGGTGGCAATAGATACTTTGTCACGTTTATAGATGATTACAGTCGAAAGCTGTGGACTTACCTCATCAAGAAGAAAAGTGATGTGATTGAGGTATTTTCCAGATTCAAGTCCATGGTCGAAAGACAGAGTGGTCGAAAGCTGAAAATTCTAAGGACTGATGGTGGTGGAGAGTATGTGTCGAAAGAGTTCGATACACTATGTGTAAAAGAAGGGATTGTGCATGAGGTGGTGCCACCTTATACTCCACAGCAAAATGGGATTGCAGAACACAAGAACAGAACCATCATGAATATGGTGAGAAGTATGTTGAATGGAAAGCATCTACCTAAAGAATAATAGGGAGAAGCAGTTTCGACAGCAACATATATATTGAACAAATGTCCGACGAAGAAGCTTGAAGGAATCACACCAGAAGAATGTTGGTCTGGTGTCAAGCCTAGTCTCAGTCACTTGAAGGTGTTTGGATCTATAGCACATAGACATGTGCCAGATCAGTTGAGAAGGAAACTTGATGATAAGTCGAATCAGATGATCTTGATAGGATATCATTCGACAGGAGGTTACAAGCTGTTCGACCCAGTGAATAAGCAGGTAGTGATCAGCAGGGACGTGATCATAGATGAGCTTAAAGAATGGGATTGGACTGAGAATGCCAAGAAGGACTCAGTGAGAATCTCTTATGAAGAACCAGCCACTGAAGTCGAAATAGAAGTTCGACAGGAACAAGTTGCAGATGAAGTAGGTTCAAGCAGACCTCGACGAACAAGATACATGCCCGCAAGGTTGCAAGAATGTGTAATTACATCAGATGATGTAGTCGATGAAGAGGGTGAGTTGGTACATTATGCTTTCTACGCAGATGTCGAACCAGTCAATGCAGCTGAGGCATTGAAAGATTCGAAGTGGATGAAAGCAATGATTGAAGAGATGGAGTCCATCGAAGTCAATGATACCTGGTCACTTGTCGAATTGCCGCAAGGCAAGAAGACAATTGATGTGAAGTGGGTTTACAAGGTAAAGGTAAATCCTAAAGGAGAAGTAACTCGACACAAGGCGAGACTTGTGGCGAAAGGATTTCTTCAGAAGGAAGGAATCAACTTCGATGAAGTATTCACACCTGTTGCTAGAATCGAAACAATCAGGTTGGTTATTGGTCTAGCAAATATGAACAACTGGCACACATGTCAGATGGACGTGAAGTGTGCATTTCTTAATGGCCCCTTAGACGAAGAAGTTTATGTTGCACAACCAGCTGAGTTTGTGAAACAAGGCGAAGAAAAAACGGTGTATAGGCTTCATAAAGCCCTGTATGGACTTAAGCAAGCTCCAAGAGCTTGAAATAAGAAAATCGACAACTTCTTAAGGGAGAAGGAATTTGTGAAGTGTACAACTGAGCATGGAATATATGTAAGAAGAAGAAATGGTGAATTGCTTATACTATGTCTCTATGTTGATGATTTGTTGATAATAGGGAGTTGCAAGAAGGAGATCGAAGATTTCAAACATGACCTGAGTGAGGAGTTTGAAATGTCAGACTTGGGAAATCTCTCATATTTCCTTGGCATCGAATTCTACAAGACAAGTAGAGGTTTGATGATGAATCAAAGAAGATATGCATGTGAAATACTCAAGAGATTTGAGATGCAAGATTGCAACCAAACTTCGACTCCAGCTGAGCCCAGATTGCAACTGTCGAAGGTCTCAGATGAAGATGATGTCGACCCAACCCAATACAGAAGACTTATTGGGTCACTTAGATACCTTTGTCACACAAGACCTAACTTAGCATACAGTGTTGGTATGGTAAGTAGATTCATGCAGAAGCCAAAGGTATCACACCTAGCAGCGGCGAAGAGGATACTGAGGTATCTCTATGGTATTTTGTTTCCAGTAGCTGATGAAGGAAAAGAATGCAAGTTAGTGGGATACACAGACTCCAGCTGGTGTAGTGATGCTGAGGATCGAAAATCTACAGCTGATTATGTGTTTATGTTAGGTGGTGCACCAGTTTCTTGAAATTCGAGAAAGGAACCAGTAGTGGCATTATCATCATGCGAAGCAGAATATATAGCTGCTTCTCTTTGTGCATGTCAAGCAACTTGGATGGTGAACTTGGTCGAAGAAATCACAGGGAAGAATCATGGAGCAATTACTATGAAGACAGACAGTATGTCAGCTATCAACTTGGCGAAGAATCCAATAGCTCATGGTCGAAGCAAGCATATCGAAATGAGGTTCCATTATCTTCGAGAGCAGGTAGCAAAAGGGAAGATGAAGTTGGAACACTGCAGAACTGAGAATCAGATTGCAGATATCATGACGAAGAGAGTGCATGTTGAAGCCTTCAGAAGACTAAGAGTCATGATGAATGTAGAAAGTTTAGACACAATGAATTAGGTGGTGTGTTAAATATAATTCATTGTGTAAACAGATTTGATTTGATATGATATGATTAGATTTGAATATTTTGGGCCTTTTATGTTTTGGGCTTTTGTAAACCTAAAACTATAAATAGGTTGCCTTGCTTTGTATTCAAATATAACATTGAACAGATTTCACAGTTGCAGTTTTAGCAAGTGAAAGTTCTATAAGCAATAAGAAATCCCACAGTTGTGGGTAACACATTCTCTCCAAATATTTCTTCTCTCATTCTTCTCTTTCTTGTTTGTTCTTCTTTTCTTTTGTTGTTCTTGATAATTACTTGTTATTACCATTACTATCATATTGTGGTTTTGTTCATCAATCTTGAGATCAAGATTGAAGGAAATTTTTCATAGGGTGTGAGGTGAATTTCCAACATCTATTACTAAATATATATAATCGAATGCTTTCGCATTTATTTACTCATTTTGAAGTTGTTAAGGACACCATCAGTTGAATCTAAATAAAAAACAATCATAAATATTATTCTCAACATCCATTTAAATATAGCTATGTTATATAAAATAATTTAAACTGACGCATACACATATTTATTTAATTAATTGCAATTAATCTAATACAACACACACAAAATAACATGCTTATAAGAATCACAATATTTATGAATCCAACAATGATTGCTTAGTTGGAGTCATTCTACTGCGGTACAACTTGCAAGACAGAACAAACAGATTGAAGTAAAGAGAGAATTAGTAGTACAATTGCAGCAACCGTAGCAGCAGTTTGCCAAGGATTGCTACAATAATCGCGTCTGAGAGTAGCCTTCATTTTATGCAAAGGATCTTTGTAAAAACCATTCAAATCTTTACGAAGATCAGAGTAATCAGAATTGGAATTAACAATTAAAATATTTTTACAAATACTATTAAAAAAGTTTGCCACAGAATCATTCTCCCCAAGCCAATTAACCAATATTCCATTCTGAACAAGTATATCAACATCCCTTCCCGTATTAATAAGAAGATCCAAAACACCCACATAATCAGTAATGTAGCACTCATAAGGGTAATGACACTGCTCCAAAGCAACCATATTCCGAAACAAAATCTCAGTCCAATCATCGACTATTAATTCAGGAATTTCAAGAACTCCACCCGAAAACCTCAAGTCTAATAAACACTTACTTTTAGTTTTCACTTTAAACCTAACTCCTGCTTCAAACAATTCAGTTACACTATGAAAATTTCCCATAGTTCCAGGGATCCTACGCCGTCGTCTTTCCAATGGATGTTGCAAGTGGAAAATTCGAATTAGATCAGTGAAATGCCTTATGGTAATATCACTATTATCAGAATCCAATTTTGATTTATTGAAACGTTGAAAATAAAAAATAGTGAGCTCAAGAAAAGAAGGGATATCAGTGTTAGCACTAAAAGAAATATTGAAGATTTTTTCAACAACAAAGAACGGCAATTGATTTTCAAGTAATAACAAATCAAATTTTATATTATCACTTAACCAAGGTTTTAAGAGAAAAGCATCCTCTTCAGACCGACCATGATCATAGGATTTCGAGAAAATTTCAATTATGAAAACAGAATCGATTAAGATTAATTTAACGAGTTCCTGATCAGTGAAGTCTAGGGTTTCGGAATAACAACGACGAAAATTAGGTATGATAGATTCTATGTAGTGAATCAAGGTTCCTAGAGTTGGCTGAGTACGTTTGAGAAATGCTTTGAAGAAAATGAGTTTGTGTCGTTCCATGTTTTGGAGGCTGGGGTGCTGGAAACGGTGGTGGAAAGGTCCGATGGAAATGACTTTGGGGGTGTATGCATCGCGGTTGTGTTTGCGAGTATCAGAGGGGACTTTGTAGATGCAACAGTCGGCGGCGCTTAATGGTGGTCCTGCATTGTCGAGCATGGCATTGATATCAACCACCGTGTCATGGTGGTTCATGATTGACAGTTATATGGAGAAGAAGACTTGGCAAGAAAATGAAGAAGTTGTGACCCAATTAATGTTCAAGTTTCAAGCATTTATAGTAAATACATAGCAGTTCTTTGTGGTGTGGCTCGAAATGTTGTTAAGAAGTATCAATCAAATCCCTAACCTCTAAATGAAGGGACGAATTGCTTACCACATGCAAAGGGGAATCAAATCCCTAACCTCAAACGGGAGGGAGGAATTGATAATAGTGATCTTTCTATCTAAATATCTATTATTTTCTCCCAGTCATATAAGCAATATTAGTGGTGGGCAGGGGAATTTTGTTATTTAAAATGTTCTAAATTAAACTTAAAATTGTGTCAGTTGTTTCTTAAGAATAAATAGTAGTGAAAATTAAAATAATAAATAACGGAAATTAAAAGAATATGGTTGATATTTATAAGTTTGATTAGGGGTGTGCAAAATAATCAATAACCATAGACTAAATTTCTAATCAAATTAATTCAAATTTTAAAATTCAGTCCAAATTTATATTTTATATTTGGTGACTCATTTATCAAATTAAAAAAAAAACGATAACCATTTGTTTCAAACCGGATTGAGATTTGGTAACCATTTTTCAATAAGTTTCAAAAATAAAAGTAGAATAGTTTGGGAAAACCAAGATCAATACCCCTAGTTTGCAATAAAATTGATTTGGTTTAAAGTAGAATAAGTTTAAGGTAGATAGTTTGCAATAAGTTTAAAGTAGACTAAATTTTACGATTAATTGATTTATATCAATTCAACGTACTTCTCGATTAATTGATTTAATTTACGGTGAAAAGAAATTATTTTAATTCCAGTTTTACATTGAGTAGTTTAAAGTTTAAGATATATGGGGCGTTGATTTAATTCAATGTAAAACCGGAATAAAATTGATTAATTGATTTATATCAATTATTTGATAGTTTGCAATAAGTTTAAAGTAGAATAAATTTCAGGTAGTTTATCAGTTATTTGATAGTTTGCAATAAAATTGATTTTTTTAAAAAACTGGTTTTAAAATTGATTTTTTTAAAAAATTGGTTTTAAAACTGATTTCTTTTAAGAAAATAAAAAACTGGTTTTGAGAGAAATCGGTTTAAAACTGGTTTTTAAGAAAACTGTTTTTTTTTAAAAACTGTTTTTTTTTAAAACCGGTTTGAAACCGAAGCAACCCACTTGTAAACCGGTTTTAAAAAAATAAACCGATTTTATATAAACGGTTTTAAGATCCAAACCAAATCATATATGTGGTTTGGTTTGGTTTGGTTTATAATCCATGCACACCCCTAAGTTTGACTAAATGTTGGCCTAATTCTGTCTCCAACTGATCTTTCTTAGAGTTTGATTATAAACATTAAGTTTTTGAAGGTTAAACCCACTAACCATTATACATTCTGATCTTGAGATTTTTTACAGGTTTATCTGCAACCAAAGATAGTTTTTATCACGGGTTAAGCTAGCGAATCTCTTTAGAGATTTTCAGGATTGATCTCAATAACTAAAACAAAAACTTTTTCCAGCAAAGACCAATAAACCAAAGTAGAGATTTTATGAATGGTTTATCTTACTAAGCAAACTCATTCTTCTCAAGAGTATCACATTCTAAATAAATAAACAAACAACACAATCACTTAGAAAATCTTCTTCACAAGCAAAGTTTCATTCAAAAGCACTACGAAATTTTTAAGTGAAATAAAGATGTTTCTAGAGAGAGAGAAAGAGTGAAAAATACAGATATAAATTGAAAACAAAAATGTAAAGCTTTGGAAAGTGGCGTGAAATGAAGAGAATGTTAGTCTCCTTTATATGCGAGTTGGAAAAATCAGAAAAGGAAACAATTCATTGGCAGAATTGATTAGCCAATCGATTGACATAATGCTCCAATCGATTGGCCAAGCCTTTTTTTAATTGATTACCATGCCCAAAATGAAAATATTGGATATAGAGTCGTTGCAAGTCATTAAGGTGTTGTCCTAATCATTTAGTTAATCATTTATCCCTTCTCCAATCGTTTGGCTGACTTAGAAAAGTTTTTCTAATCGATTGACACAAGTTACCAATCAATTAGTTAGTTCAAGAATTATTTGGAAAGAGATTTGACAACTTTTTAATCACTTGGTTTGACTTATAAAATAATTTTCAAGATAAAAAATATTTGTAAAAGATATTTTAAGGTGTGTGTGTGTGTGTGTGAGTTTCCTTAGTACTTCAAAGTTACTTCCATCATCGGAGAGTTGAATGATATTGGCACCGACTTCATCACGATTATTGACGTTGTCATCATTAAAACATCAGAGAGGGTCTTTTGTAAGATTGTCAACGTCATACCTGCAATCACATAAATCCATAACTAGGGCTAGGAAAAAGGACCTAGCACTGTATGAATGTAGAACTCTCCCAGCGTTTAATGACTCTGTCACTCTCCTTAATAATACTAAAGGATTGTCAATTTCCATTGGAGAAGGAAAACACAAGAAGACTGTGAGTGTGCACTTCTTAACAATCCTTTGAGAGAGTATTTATAGTTGCATCCTAGGAAAACCTTTCTACGCAACACAAATATCTTCTACAGTCCACCTAAAGATGAAATACAACAATTGCTTCACTGAACTAGTTTTCATTTAGACTAACCTATGCGGAGCCCGTGTCATACATGAGATGGTCCTAAAAATACCCTAGGAAACTGACATCATTCTTGGAAAAAAGTAAAGGATACTCATACCCTCATTATTGACACAATCAACCTTGATGTGCATGAAGACGAAACCATGTCGGTGACGAGCTCGACTCCCTAGTGGGAACTAAAGTGAAGACCACAAGAACTATTCTAGATGGAAACTTAAAGATAGTGCAGCTAGATGAAAACACCTCTAGGTCATCTTGGATAGGATCCCACTTGCTGATTCCGGTGAGGAGTGACCTCATTAAGTGTCTAAGAGCTAACATTGACCTCTTCGTGATCTTCATTAGTGAAATTCCCGACATTGACCCCCAACATACCATGTCACTTGAACACAGTCTGAGGCCTACTCCATTCAGCTTTATTTCTGAAGTATATAACTGAATCACTATCCAATGTTGTTATAGTTAAAAAGGTGCCCGAAAAATGAGGATATGTTTAGACTACACCAACCTCAACTGGACTTGCCCCAAATATTCTCATCACTCTCCAACATTAACAAACTAGTAGACAACTTCGCCAGATAAAAGTGTTGTCATTCATGGATGTGTACTTTGGATCAAACTAAACCCATGTGCACAAACACACATAGACGAAACCTCCTTAATGACGAAACACACCAACTTTTAATACAATGTCATGCCATTTGCCTTGAAGAACGCAAGTTTAACATTTAGATTTTTTAAAGGCAACACATAAGGAATGCTCGCCAAAGATCAGTCTCATGAGAACTCTTGTTGAAATCTGCTACCCTTTGTGGTACAAACATCATCATCATATTTAGTTTAGACAATCAATAGAAAACATATTGCCACTTTTTGCAACATTTTGTGTCATATCCTCCGACTTTGTTCAAAATTGTTGAATTTTTTGTTACTTAGTACACAATTGACTACTGTTAGATTAATTATTTAATTGATCAAATGTGAATTGACATAATTCTTATTACTTAATTATATTATGGTTAATTATTATTAAGCACTAATTGTTGATAGGTTGGATCATTCATTTAATCCTAATGGGAGATATTTATTGGTGCACTAAAGCGGCAAGCAACAAAAGTTTTTGGAAGTATTTATCTGGGAAATTATCGTGTCCATAGAGATTAATGTTATTGAACTGCCATTCGACAATTTAAACGTTATTGTGTTTGGGTTTAAAATGGGTTTAAATTAAATGCGGGAAATAAAACTTATGAACAAAAAAATAATTTATTCTTTGGAGAGTAGAGAATTCTCGGGTTTGCATTTCATTTACTCTATCAGATACTTAAACTTACTACCCAGTTGTACGCAACCTAAATCACTCGTCAATATTATCACGTATCTCTCACACAGAGATCATCTCTAACGCAGAGTGAGACAACGACCGTATTACTCGCGTCGGCGATCTACCAACACAACACAAACAACACAGAAGCATTAAGTTCCGATACCCAAGTGATTATTAAGCCTAAATCTATCTCTAGAATTCATAACCTAATAGATGTTCATCGTAAATTCGGATTCAACCCGTCCATGTCTAAAATAACTCAAACCCAAATAAAGAAAGCAATCATCAACATTAATTTGTAAAATAAGTTTTATACAATACCATGAGCAATAAATATGCATATAATCAAGGTAAACTTACATACAAACTCACAACAAATGGAAACTACAAATGGAAGAGAGAAGAGGAATCAAAATCTCTTGCAGTGTCAATCACGATCCAAGAATCATCCACCCCTATTCGTCGAGTTGCAACCTCCATTTATACTTTCTAAGCTCTTAACTATTAAAAATGAATGTTTGATGAATTGGGAACAAATACCCCAAAACATAACCTAAAAAAAGAGTTTTTACCCCTTTAAATGTGTTTCTGCCCAGACTAATTCGCCTGACAAAGTAACGGTCTTCCCGGAAAGAAAAGGAGGATTTTTATATTGCTTCTGAAACTTATGGCTTGTGTCTGGCTCGCCCGGGGAGCTTGGGGGGAGAGCTGACAGTAACAGAAAAATTCAGCATCTTGTTTTCTTCATAACTTTCGAACCATAACTTCGTTTGAGGCCCGGTCGGAAGCGTCAAAAAGCTTATTCAATGTTCTATCTAACAATGACTAAATATCAATGCTTGAATACCTACAAAAATGAGATAAAAACAAGAAAACTCAATAATATTTAGACAAAAATACTAGTATACACTAAATATACACTTTCACAAACAAAGTAGGGTTTTATTCAAAGAATTCAATACAAATGAATTGATAAGTGCCGAAAAAATACTACTCAAAACACGAAATTTTGGCACTTATCATGCATCCA